TAAGTCAGGTAACATGGAATACAGTACACTATTGGTAAGTCAGGTAACATGGATACAGTACACTATTGGTAAGTTAGGTAACATGGAATACATTACACTATAGGTAAGTTAGGTAACATAGAATACAGTACACTATTGGTAAGTTAGGTAACATGGAATACATTACACTATAGGTAAGTTAGGTAACATGGAATACAGTACAATATTGGTAAGTTAGGTAACGTGGAATACAGTACACTATTGGTAAGTTAGGTAACATGGAATACAGTACACTATTAGTAAGTTAGGTAACATGAAATACAGTACACTATTGATAAGTTAGGTAACATGGAATACAGTACACTAATGATAAGTTAGGTAACATGGATACAGTACACTATAGGTAAGTTAGGTAACGTGGAATACAGTACACTATTGGTAAGTTAGATAACGTGGAATACAGTACACTATAGGTAAGTTAGGTAACATGGAATACAGTACACTATTGGTAAGTCAGGTAACATGGAATACAGTACACTATTGGTAAGTTGGGTAACATGGAATACAGTACACTATTGATAAGTCAGGTAACATGGAATACAGTACACTATTGGTAAGTTAGGTAACATGGAATACAGTACACTATTGGTAAGTTAGGTAACATGGAATACAGTACACTTGATAAGTCAGGTAACATGGAATACAGTACACTATTGGTAAGTTAGGTAACGTGGAATACAGTACACTATAGGTAAGTTAGGTAACATACCTGACTTATCAATAGTGTACTGTATTCCAACATGGAATACAGTACACTATAGGTAAGTTGGGTAACATAAAATACAGTACACTATAGGTAAGTCAGGTAACATGGAATACAGTACACTATAGGTAAGTCAGGTAACATGGAATACAGTACACTATTGGTAAGTTAGGTAACATGGAATACAGTATACTATTGGTAAGTGTGTGTATTAGTTATATTAATAAAACATCTAAAATAACTCTAATTTACTTAAAATTAAAACTTGATGCTCACTCAAAAATTAATTTCCATATGTACACAAAAATAAATCAAGACGTATAGTCAGTTAACAATGTTTGGCAATCAAAATAAACTATTATTGATATTCAAATAGCTTTTTCTTCAGAAAATGTATAATCTTTACACACACACTCAAGAATGACTACTCAAATACACTTCAAACAAGTCTAAAATATAAACCAGAAGACGTAAATTGAACCTTACAATGTTTTCTAGTACTTCGTTAATCAAATATAAGAACAAATTATAAGTATTATGTTTTCACAAAGTCGGCACGACAAATTTTAATGTTTTCACAAAGTCAGCACAACAAATTTTAATGTTTTCACTGATCTGACAAGTTCTCTAATCATGAACCGGTGAACAGTTATGGAAAATCTGATCTTTTAACACCCTGTGAGGAACTCGGTGCTGAAGGAGATATAATCTCCATCGTGATACCTGCTCTTCATTAAGTCAAGAGAAGGATAATAAAGTCGAGACTATATGGGAAGGCAACCTTGAATAACAGAGTTGATTTGAAAATTGAAGAGGGATTATTCTTTGTGACTAAAGCAACTGACAAAAATGGAAATTAGATTTACAAAATGAAGGTGCTACCTAAACAAGGATAAGCTCAACAGATACGTTTATGGAGATAGGAACTTGAAGGAAGAGTGCAGTCGAAACTAAGAGCCCACAGAAGAAATGTGGACAAGCGTTAACACTAAATCTGATCGTGACATTACAGTAAAGACATATAATGAAGAGGCAATGTTTTTTTTTTTCTTAGTCATTGTGAAAATACAACACAATCTACTTATTTAGTGGACACAAAATTAAAACAGGTTTTTCACTCATTTCACACATAGCAAAAGTTTGTATTGGTGCTTCACCACCCAGTGTATCAAAGGTAGAATATCTACTACAGTTGATAATATCTACAGTGACTCTAGAACCATGGTTCTTCCACAGAAGGTGCTGGTGGTTATCTACAGTGACTCTAGAACCATGGTTCTTCCACAGAAGGTGCTGGTGGTTATCTACAGTGACTCTAGAACCATGGTTCTTCCACAGAAGGTGCTGGTGGTTATCTACAGTGACTCTAGAACCATGGTTCTTCCACAGAAGGTGCTGGTGGTTATCTACAGTGACTCTAGAACCATGGTTCTTCCACAGAAGGTGCTGGTGATTATCTACAGTGACCCCAGAACCATGATTCTTCCACAGAAGGTGCTGGTGATTATCTACAGTGACACATTAGCCATGATTCTTCCACAGAAGGTGCTGGTGATTATCTACAGTGACCCCAGAACCATGATTCTTCCACAGAAGGTGCTGGTGATTATCTACAGTGACCCCAGAGCCATGATTATTTCAAGGAATGTGCTGTTGGTTATCCACAGTGACCCTAGAGCTATGATTCTTTCACAGAATATGCTGGTGATATCCCCAATAACCTGAGAACCATGATTTGTCCACAGAATGTGCTAGTGGTATCTACAGTGACCATAGATCCATGATTCTTCCACAGAATGTGCTGGTGGTTATCTACAGTACCCCAGAACCATGATTTTCTCACAGAATGTGCTGGTGATATCTACAGTTACCCCATTCATGATTGTTCCATAGAATCTGCTAATGATATCTACAGTACCCCTGTCACGATTGTTCCATAGAATGTGCTAACGATATCTACAGTACCCCTGTCATGATTCTTCCATAGAATGTGCTAACGATATCTACAGTTACCCAAGTCATGATTGTTCCATAGAATGTGCTAACGATATCTACAGTACCCCTGTCATGATTCTTCCATAGAATGTGCTAAAGATATCTACAGTACCCCTGTCATGATTCTTCCATAGAATGTGCTAAAGATATCTACAGTTACCCAAGTCAAGATTGTTCCATAGAATGTGCTAACGATATCTACAGTACCCCTGTCATGATTCTTCCATAGAATGTGCTAACGATATCTACAGTTACCCAAGTCACGATTGTTCCATAGAATCTGCTAACGATATCTACAGTTACCCAAGTCACGATTGTTCTATTCTGAATCTGCTAACGATATCTACAGTACCCCTAAGTCATGATTCTTCCATAGAATGTGCTAACGATATCTACAGTTA